TTTGAACATTATATTTTAGTCAGTTTAGATACTGTAATCCTGGGTCAGTGTTGAAATAAAGCTTTGAAAGAAATACTAGTGTTGTTTGCTCAGGCATTTAGCATGTGGATAGGTCCTCCCTTGGCTCTCCCCTCTTTAGGTTAGTTATAAAATAAACTTTGAAAGAAATACTAGCATAGTTTGCTCAAGTATTTAACATTTGAATGGACTCTCCCTCTACTCTACTTCAGCAATCCCTCGGCTCTCCCCTCGGCTTTTCCTTGTGCTGGTGACCTGCTCTCATGGCTTGATGATTACATGTCTGCACGTAAACAGTTTGTCCAAGTATCAGGATATCAGTCCAGGTCCAAAACCATCACATAAGGAGTTTCCCAGGGTTCAATATTTGGGCCCAAATTGTTGTAAACAACCTTCCAGAATTGATAACAAGTGGTGATTTATTCATGTTTGCTGATGATACCACAATTGTTACAATACAAGCTTATTTATTGCTAGCTTATTTATTCTTACAATACAATTGGCAAGAACATTGACAACATCATCTTGACATTACAAGCTATATTAGTTTTCAATAAAGTCTACGAGTCGTCAACTTCCCCTGTCGCCATGAATGATCAACTAAAAAGGTTCAAAGGAATGGTCAGGGGCTAGCTTTGTTGGCTCAGTTGAGTTGCGGTCAGCTGAGCTTGTTGCTAGCAGAAAACGATCATATGTAAATTTCCTCTGAGTTGAAAACAAACCTTTTGAAGGTGCTTCTTTGATTACATGTTTTTATGATTGCGGCATGATTGATTTTTCCTTCCTGTAAGATACAATGGGTGGCTGGTTAAAAGATATGTGCAAGTCTAGGCTCCTGTTGAATGATGTGCCAGTGTTCCATGAGAACCTTTTAAAGATTTGGTGTGGCCGGGTTATACATGGTAACAAACGGTAAAATTTCTTTCACATTCTTTGTTTTGTTACAAAGGGTCTTTGTTCTGAAGAACTGAACTCCAGTATGGATTTTATGCATAAACGTCACAGGATAGCCTCTGAGTCTTTGCTGAAGATCTCGTTTGTGTTTATCAAAATTCTCCTTTACTGAGTTGGTTCTTAACAGACAGTGCTTCTCCTTTGATAAAACCCTTTTTTGTTTTAAAAGGGTGACAGGATGAGAAGTGAGTATTCTGAAAAGTTTCAGTGAGCTTGATGTGGGTTTGTGAATCGAGAATTTTAAGAGTTGAGGTCCTTTGAATATCTCTGTGCTAAGAAAAACAGTGTGTTCAGGTGACATTTCAGAAGTAAACTTGATTGTGGGGTGGAATGAGTTGGCGAAGTCTACAAAAATAAAAATTTCCTCTATTGGAATGTTCCACCTCTTGCAGATGAATGGTCTAAGTGGACTAGCTAATACCAGTCATTTCTCTAGGTCTGCCAAGAAAATAACAGAAAAAGTGACTGCCATTTTAGTTCCCATAGCGTTGCCGTGAGTTTGTATGAAGTGTTTTTCATTCAAATTGAGAGAATTTTCTTTAAGCATAACCTACATTAGTTCCCATAAATCACTTGTAGGGAAAGGTAATTTCTGCTCATAGTGATCTTTGTAATAGTGGCAAACAATATCAATTCCTTCTTCTTGATGACTGTTGGTGTAGAAAGACTAACATCAAGTGTGGTTAGGACCACATCATCTGGAATTTGCGTGTTTTCAATAAAATTGAGAAAGTCCATAGTGTTTTTATATAGGACTCTTATTTTATGGCAATAGGTTGAGTCTACAAAACTAGAGATATGTTCTGTTGGACCACTACTCCCAGAGACGATTGGTGTGCCAACGGGTGTTTTCTTACGGATTTTAGTCAGCATGTAAAATTCTGGTATACGTGGTTGTTTAAGGCTAATTGTGAGTCTTTTGGTTGATGTGTCCCAAGTAGTGTAGTTTATTAACCAGTTTGTTTACTTTTCGGGCAGTGTCTTGCACAATAGGTGATGGGAGAGGCTTGTGAACATTGGTGTCAGTCTGACAGATTAATAGCCCACAAATTGAAGTCTGAAGCACTGAGGACTTTGAATCAGAACTTTATTGACCCCTCGCCACACTGGAAATACAGTAATGGTACCATTGAGTAAAAACTATCATCTAAATGTCTTGGGTTAACAATCGACAACAAGCTTTCATGGGCATGCTAAGAGCACATTGTGAATGTTTTTAGGTCGTCCAGCAAGAAAGTGGCAGTTTTAAAACAGATAAAGTTTTTACGGAAACCAATCTTTGAAACTGTTTATTACAAAACAATTATCCCTAGTGTTTTGTACCTCATTGTAATTTAGGGGTTTTGTTTTTCAGTATTAATAGATGATATTGATCGAGTTCATTTACTAGCAAACAGAATTATTTACAATCTACCCCATGATATCCATTGTGATGATATCATGAATGCTCTACACTGGAAATTTTATAACTTCATTTTACATCAAAAGACTTTTAGTTATTATAATGTCCACGGCAGAAAACAGGCAAGAACTACTCCACAAAACAGCTTTAATTTCGGTAAACACAAAACTTGGTTACCACATGTGATCTTGTTATATATCTCTTAAAGAAAAACAAATGCCCGGATCACTTAACTAAATAACCACTGACCTATCATGAACATTACAGTTATCACAAATAATATCTATTATGAAAACAGTGTCGAATCCCTCAATTACTTAATAGTTAAACCTGAGACTACCTATCACTTTGCAAAGCCCTTAAGTGTCAAGATTCATAGCCAAGAACTGAAGTAGGCAGATCTTCCCTCAAGCACAGAGCTGCATTATCCTGGAACCTCCTTCCTGATGACATCAAAAACTGTTCTAACTTAGCTACTTTCAGGAGAAAACCTAAGGAAAATAAGAATATTCTAAAATCTACTCTTCCTGTGGAATATGAAGAGCATGAATTTGAACTTGAATGTGATCTTTCTTTTGTGGACTCTTGCAGAGAGTTTGCATGCCCTAGTAGTCTTTGTGCTAGTGCCGATCGCACGGGCAATGATTCCGACAATATTTCTCACTGACTACATTAGTGGCTGTGATTTAGGTTCAGATGGTAAGGATGATATGGAGTCAGAGCTAAGAGATGTTGAAGCAGAGTCTGTTGGTAACAATGAGGAAGAGAATGTAAAGAAGTTTGTACAGGATACCTCGCTCAGTGGATATGAAACAGAAAATGGGATGCTCCATAAATCAATTCAAACAACTTTCACAATGGTGTAAAGATTTGCATAGAAGTGGAAATAAGGATGGTGCTGCTCACTAGCCAAAAAGTGGTGTGATGTACAAACTTACGTACCGGATTTGTTTTGGTAATGACCGTTTAAGTCACTATGGGTTGACGCAATCAAGAGATGAACCTTGACCTCATTGTGGTAATTCAGGAACAATCCCATACTACTTCTTGGGCCTATCAGATGAAGTAAAAGAACTGGTGCTCCTCTCCAGAAATGAGCCAGAAAACGACTGGCCATTAGTAGCAACGTGACCACTTGCTTCCTGATGAGTTGAAAGATGGTTGGGGGGCCAGTGAAGCATGAAATTGGGGATGGGACAAGGTTTGCAGAACTTGCATATGTTTGGGATCCAAACACAATTTGGACTCTCCTGGTCAGGTGCACTTATCCAGATTACAATGCTTTCATTTCTGCTACTGAAATTGTTAACTCTGCTGAGGTAGGTGTTGGCCTAAAGAAGATCAAGGGTTGATCATGTGGTAGAATATTTCAACATTTTCCAAGGGTACCACATGGAGATCCTCGTAACTTTGCTTATTGTGCTAAGTTGAGAAATTTTTTTAAAGATTGCTAACTTTTATTGTACTTGTCCTTTTTTCCTTACATCTCTCTGAGGTTTCACTGAATCCAGAAATGCAATCCCTTATCCTACACACAGAGGTCCAACTAATTTTTCACAAGTTCTAGGGGATTGCATGTAGGTGTAAAAATGTTTAGGAAAATAAAGGTGTGCGTAAAATCAGTCTCTAACATTTCTGGGGATATTGACCAGAAATGGGATTTGAAGTAGATTTAAGTTGATAATTTGTCGAGGGACTCTAAATAGTTTCCTATAGACACAGAGTGCTTTGGTGTAGTTGGGTGACTGTCTGGTGTTGTTTAAAGGATTTTTACTCCCCTTGTACATGATTATTGATTGATAATTATATGTATATGTTACACAAAGTAATGGATACAAAGTCAATACAAACTGCCATACTGTATTCTGCTCTCCTCCACACAATCAGAAGGTCCCAAATCTAGTTACCAGTACCACAATCTCTTTCTTTTTCAAAAAACAAACAAACAAACAATCAAACTACTAAAAGGTCCAAGAGAAAATAAACAGGAATCGTGGTGTACCTAAACAGGTGCCTAGACTTTTACTCCAGTAATTTAACGTTTTGCACTCTGTAAGTGAAAGTGGCCCAGTAGGCATTAGGCCAAAGTTCAACTGTTACACAGTTTCTTAGGTTGTTAAGACAGTACATAACCAGCTAAAGCTCTTGGGGGGCCAGCTAAGTCTTCCCGACTACTGCGGGGTAACTCTCTCTCCTGTGGGAGTCATTCCTGGACAAGACTTGTCAGGCACTTTCAAATTTGAGTACCAAGACTTACTAAAGAAAACAAAATTTTAGGCATTTGAGATGAAATTCATACACAAACCAAAACATTTAAGGAGGACCAAGCTCTAACCTCAACAAAAATATTTTTTAATTTGAAGGCATATTTACCAATGTTCTTTCCTGCTGGCCAGGAAGTACTCATGATAGCCACGTATTCTGGACCAGTAACATTTGCAGTTAATTGCAAAACAACCATCGCTCTCTCGATGATGTTGTTCTTCTTAGAGACAGTGGGTATACCTGCAGCCCATTCCTAAGGACACCATTCACAACAACAAGAACTCCATCCCAAGAAGCTTACAATAGTGCACACACACACACACACACACACACACACACACACAAACTTATAAGAAAGTTTTTTCCTTTAATCCAATCACAGAACAATAAACATCCAAAAGATCTGCAAGATGTCTGTCAATTGAAATTTTCATTGCAAAGAAACTTAACTTAAGTACTAAGACTTGAATGCAATTTTTTTTTGCAGAACATGCTACACAGGCAGGAACGAGGAGAAGAAATGTACAATGGCACTGTAAGAATATAGTTATAAAATAGCTTGTAAATTATTGCTTAATTCTGCTTACAATAAACAAATAATACTGTTGCAAGACAGTTCAGTTCATTTCAAGTAGGATTTATGTTCTTAACACTCACTATATCAGCTGTTTGTGAAAACATTTCTGTGGAAACATTTTAGATGCCACAGTTGCCTTTCAGTTCATTTCTAGATCACTTTGAGAAAATTATAAGTAATCATTAATAGTAATGATTCAAAATTTAGCGAACATTGACACCCAACTCAATTCCATTGGTAATCTGTTGTGCCAATCACCAGCCATGATAAGTGAATTTTTTTTAATTGATTCCAAGAATTGAAGATTACCAATAAAGCTAAATAATGGTAACACTTTTTCTAATAGAAAATACAATCTTAACCCTTTAACTCTGAGGATCTCATTGGCAACTCTCCTAACTGACTGTCATACAGTTCTTTTGATGTTCAGTTAGTTTGGAGAATTTGGTATTGGATCAAGTAATAATCTTCTGATTAATATTTGTCTTTATTCTCATTAGTTGTCTGCTTGGTATTGTATTGATTTTGTATAGAGAAACTGTGTCTTGGTCACTCGATCCTAGGAGTTAAAGGAACCAACAAAATTCTTTAAAACCTAAATGAACTTTTGGTACAGTGAAAAACCTAATTCAAGGTAGTTTAATTCTTTAATTGTGTACTCATTTGATCATTTTTTAAAAGATTATACACTGACATCACAAATTTAATCTAAAAAGCAGGTTTCCTCTGCAGATCTTGTCAACCAACTATAAGTATTTATTTCACCCTCTCCTTTCTAGCATCAGTATGAATAATCTCCATACTACTTCCTAGACATTTCCCAGGGTTCTGACAAGGAGAATTTGTTCAACAATCAAGAGCTTCTTTAGTTGGTGATCATATCCTTTATTCTCATGACCTTAATGTTTGGTTCAAAGGTGATGTTGTTAGGAGAAATTAGATGTTAGTCACTCTTAGTGGTTGAAGGGTTAAGGTGGATCACATCATTTTACTGACAAATTATCTTTCCTATATTTCACAGAACTCACAACAAAACAGAGTCTTTGTTAATCATATGTTGGAGGTGTGCAAAACAGTAAGTTTCGACTCATGTAGTTTACAATTAAATTCAATCACAACTACAATTAGACTAGAAAGGCAATTACCATTGATAGTTAAAACACAAAAATTTACATTTACATACTAGAGCAATAATCATACACCTTTGTGAAGTTTTTATGCCCACTTTAAATGTCATATCTTCCTTCTGATGCACTCCATCTGTTAATGACTTCTTTTCCCACAGTTTGCCACATCAAACTTTGAGAAGATGTCAGCAACGTCTGATGAAAATGATGCTGAGGACGAATAAACAAGATTCTGCTTCATTACCTTCCTAGTATACTCTTCTACACCATTATGTACTGAGCTTCATATCAAAATGCTGCATTATATGTTAATGGCATAACTTCAAACATTTGCAACCTGATATAGCCTATACATGACCTAAAGAGCTGCACAACACTGATTTAATGATAAGTCATCAATACATTCAATTTCAGAATCCAATGACAAATTGTGACAGTTATGACAACCCATGTTTTTTTTAAATAAAATGTTATCTTGTTAATCAATTTTACCTCTCAAACTGGCTGTCACTTAAATGAAACAATATATTAGTCACACAAAAGGCGTCCGAAGCTCATGTCTCGAGAAAAAGCAAAACGATGAATTCATGAAAGCGTCACATGATGCATGACTCGGTGCTAATTAAGTTACGAGAGGAACCATTGTATGAGAATTTGAACACATTATAAGGTATAGTATGGGGAACGAAATATCATCCATTTAAAAGAAGAAGTCAAGACTGCACGCTACGATTTGGACCGTTGTCCACGTAGAGGTAGTTTGCGCCCTGAAAATCCTCACAGTTGGCATTTTTCTCAGCCAAAGTTGCAACAGGAATAACAGCGATGGCCCTAAATCACAAAGTAAGGTCATGAGAATAAAGGAAATGATCACCAAATAAATAAGCTTGCAAACGATGGTCTTTTTCTGTACAAAATGATTTCAAGTCGACAACAATATTAACTCTTCAAGACTTTGAACTGTGATTATAATACGTACATCTTAATGCAACCAAAACAACACACCGAATGACAAAACATTTACAAACTTTAACTAAGCAAAATTACCTTTTTACCATGCGATGAACAATTGTCGTAAAAATCATAGTTCCAGTGTTCCCCTGTTCCCCTATTCCTTTTCGCCAGCAATCTTAAAAGCAGTTTCCACATGGAAATTCTTCATTTTGACTTTCCTTTTTTTTTAATTTTTTTTTTTTATCTAAAACCATTTCTATTGTCAACGAACGATTCACCATACAACAATAAACATATTCCAAACTTGGACGCCATCGTTTAGCTCGTCGTATATTACGGCTATTTGCTTCAACAAACCGGCTGCGCATTAACATAGATCTTCCTTCGCAGCAACCTCGTTACTAGGAGACTAATATTCACTAATATTCACCAATATTTCCCCAGCAACAAACCGGTCTAACACTACCAATTGCCTCGTCAGGCGACACATTCTTGCCCATATACTTCCAAGTCAGTTGCTTTTAGCATCTCATACCCTCTGTCTGACAAAATCGAAGTTCCACTACAAATCATTCCTGATTTAAAACGACTAATACAATCTAAATAGATACTTTTCTTTCTCTAATTATCGATGCCACATTTGAAATATACAGGTAAATTCTCAACTAGTCTCTAAGAATCAAACACCACTTATAAGGGCCCAGGTGCACTAGGAAAATTTTGCTAGTCTTTTCACGGAAAAATCTGTCTTCTCTTCAGTGAGGCAAGTGTGCCCGATAATTTTTTATCCTACCAAATTTTGTGACTCGTTATCAGTCTCGAAAAGCATTGTTCTTCTGCTTCGGAGCTGAAAAAAAATTTTGTCAGGTGTAACATCTGATAGATGTTTCGATTTTACAAGCCAGAACATCAAATAAAGAGCGTTTAAATTTCACCTTCTGAACCTACCTTTAAGACTGAGTACGTCTTTCGTGCCCACCAAAGAGCGCGGTAAAATTAGCGTCAAAGAGCTCTCTAATTTAAACAATTTGTGATCTGGATTTCTTTCAGTTGTGAATACGAAAAAGGGAAAAGAAATACAGACGAAGAAAACGTAGCCGTCATAAAGAATAAGTTATCCAAGTACGTTGTTGTCTTTGAATGGTATACAGAACCGCGTTTATTTTATTATGTCATTTACCGATTAGTCAAATATTCTAAGCTTCCACGACCACTTTATCGAGAGTCTGCAAACAAAGAAGACTTCTGTTAACAAGCTTAAAACTGGATCCGAAGGAAACAAAAGACAGCACGATTCAACGCCCAGTCACCGCCTGAGGACTCACTCACTCAAATCGGTTCTTCAAAATGACATTTTCCTCATCGCAGTGGTTCACGTATGAATAATATGTCGTCTATCTCAATGACTACATCTAAGAAACCTACACGAGTCGCAGAATCAAGACTTGAAGTGACGTTTTTCCAGGAACGGCACTCTCAATAGCAGCAGAAATTTAATATTTAGCAAAGAAAAAATCACCTAGCTCTCTCGAAACTGAACTTTCTAAATCTCAAGCTCTACAAAGAATCGTTACTTCACTGGTAGAACTAGTTGGTCCTACAGTTCATTTTGACCACAGAGTCATCGCGCCTAATGCGCACTTCGACATTCCCAATTCTGTTAATTACTTCGAATGTGAAACCTCGTGTAGCCTCTTCAGTTCCATTTAGACAATGCGCTCGTCCCAATTTAACCCGGACATAACCGATTGGCAACAGCGACCAGGAGTGACGAACCACCTGTTACAGATACATGTCAAGTGCTTTCCTGACCCAGTGAAAAAGCCTCTAACGCAATGCTTAAACTCCATCAGCAGCTCAACAAAATCGTTGAAATGCTTGCTATACAGCGAAAGAAAAGTTCTCTTACTCAACCAGTCAAGTCTCTCTTTTCGATGATGACTGTCTGAAGTATGAACCCTTTCAAACAGCTTTCGGGTCCCATGTTTGGCGAAAGTCCACGCCTCACGAGTAGTTTAATTTCTAACTTAGTTTTCTCTCACTCGTGAAAGCAGCAGTTCATTCGTAAATCACACTTGAAGTCGCATCCAATGTACTTCAAGAAATACATTGGATGCGACTTTTTTTGTTGCTTGAGTTAAGAAAAAGGTGTTATATTTCTTGACTAAAGCTGATAGGTAATTAAGCATAACTCATAACAAGGAAGAAGTATAAAAGAGAAGATAAATAAACCTACAATAGCTTAAGACAGGTCGCTATTGGCCTCTTTAAAATAGTGCGTCTTAATGAGTCTCTTAAACATATCAAAATCATTCTCTTTTTTAATATAGTCCGGTAAACCGTTCCATATCTTTGGAGCAGCCGTAGTGAATGATCTGTCCACAAGAGTGCATTTGAACTTAGCGGTATGGTCTTGCAAAATAACGCCCACAATACTCCGCAGGTTATAGCGAGAACATCGTTGAATATTTATGAGGTTACTTAAAAACGCAGGCCCCATATTGTGAATAGTCTTGAAAGAGATCACAGCGATTTTATGGGAAATTCGGAACTTCATCGGTAACCAATGCAGTGCAAGCAGCAGTGGGGTGATATGACAGTATCTGGCTGTATGGGTAATAAGTCGCGCAGCAGAATACTGAAGACGTTGTAATTTGGAAAGACGAACAGCAGGTACACCATAGAGAAGTCCATTAAAATAATCAATGCCTGCCATGATCACGCGTGGAGGCAGGCGTCAAGAACTTCCTTATTTGTCTGATATTATGCGGGTGATAGTAGACTGATTGACAAGTCATGTCAATCTGTTCTGTCATCTTAAGAGAGGATGTCAGCATCCATCGAAAAAATTTGAAATATTTTGGCAAGTCGCCCAAAATTCGATTTCACCCCATACTTCCATATTTTGCAGCCTAATATCTCATAATAATTTTGGTGTAGTTTTTTTTTGTGAAAATGTACTTTAGTTTTCGAGAAATTAATTTTTTCGTTCGAGCGCTCAAATATGCAAATTTTCACCGTGAATAATACCCGAGTTGTGTGACCTCATGTAACGAATGTACTTCCGCCAACATAGTCCTTTGTTTTATCATCTAAACTTAATCCTCTGTCATTATTGAAGCTGACAAAGAAATAATTTTTTTTTGTGGTGGATATTTTTGTCCGACATACTTTTCGTATGTCGAAAATTAACATTAAAACAAAGACAGTTTTAACACTCGATTCGAAGGCTGAGAAGAGGAAATATGTTTCTGATGTCTTAAAGGCGAATGGCTATACAAAAGCTTTTCTCCGTAACTGCCAAAAACCAGTTACAACTAATAGCCTCCTGATGAAAGGGAAGCAGCGACTGGTTCTTCTGTTATTCCTTACATTCAGGGTGTTACGGAACCCATCAAGAGAATTTTGAACAGCTTTAACGTTGAAGTTGCAGAAAAACCTTTTCAGACTTTGGGGCATATTTTTGCCAAACCTAAGGATCCTGTCAGGAAAGACCAACGAACCGACGCCATTTATTGTATTCCTTGCAATGACTGTGACAACGAATACATCGGACAGACCAAACGTTAGTTTGGTAGACGTTTGAAAGAGCATGAAAAAGCGGTTTTCTTTTGCAAAAAAAGAAAATTCAGCTTTATCGGACCACACATGCCCAACTAACCATACAGTTGGGTGGGATAAATTTAAAATTATCACCATTACTCGGCGTTACCACCGGCGCCTTTGTTTGGAAGCTTGGGATATTAACTCCACCTACGCTCCTTTAAATCGTGATGATGGCGGTTTACTTCCTGACGCCTATTTACACCTCGTCAGGGAAAAGGCAGCTAATTAGTGAACGTATGAAAGGACCTCTTGTTGCAGCGTTTAGATCACCCCTGATGAGGGCACTAGACAGGAGTGTCGAAACTTTGGGTCTATGAATTGTAACTTCTTCGGTTACATTTATTAAATCTGTAAACCAGAGTAGCATCAAACCATGTCTGATTGTCCACCTGGTTGTCATGTGGACTTTAATAGAGTTTATTGGGGTTTTCATTCCAGAACGAAACACTCATTCTGGACGACCTTTTTTAACTGTATAATATAAACGCGGTACGACTCATATCTGTACGAATCCTCTTTAGGAGCGAGGGAAGCATAGAAAAAGACAGAAAAGGACACAAATACTTGTTTTTACAAACTAAATTATCTTGCATGTAAACGCAATATGAAATTCATTTCGTTCCGGAACGAAACTCATTTTGGAATTATGTAAAGGGTACCTTGGGGACGGAACATTAGATTTTTGAGCTGGGGGCGACTGGGGCAAATTACTTTTTTTTTTTTTCCACTAGGGGGGCAAATCTTTGTTTCAATGTTTCAAGGTGCTGACGGGGGGGGGGGGGGAGGGTGGCAGAAGGCGATCGGAAATGGGTGGGGATGCTTTACATACCTTTTAGGGGTCAAAATCAGCGATCGTGTACCTTTAACGGTCTCTCAAACTTA